TCTTAGTAGTCCCAAGGCTCATATCCACATGGAACAGTTTCATTAGGAGCCTGTAGCACATGTGGTAGTAGAAATGGAAGAATATCCATGAAAATAAATAAAGTTTATCTTGTCTACTTTTCAGATTGCAGTGTTTCCCATTGGAAAAAAGGCAAGAAGAAAAATGTACGCCCTCGAAGCTGAGAAGGGGCCAGCGGGATGCAATGTTGATACCGATAAAGGGTTGGTGTCATTATCTCCGTTTCAGCGATAGAGAGAAGAGTGAAAGGACAATCCACACGGAAACAAGAGAGCTCAGTCCTGATTTGTGAACATCAATAATTATTTCCTAAATATACCGAACAGAGCTAAGATTATTTTTATGAGAATAAGGTATGATCAATGGCTCTATCACGCAAAGAAGACTCATACTGTAGGTACAGCAGCAGCATTTATGGTGTCACACATCCATCCATCCATCCATCTTCTTCCGCTTATCCGTGGTCGGGTCGCGGAGGTAGCAGTTCCAGCAGAGAGCCCCAAACTTTCTTCTCCCTGGCCACATCAACCAGCTCTGACTGGGGGATCCCAAGACGCTCCCAGGCCAGCGAAGAGATATAATCCCTCCACCTGGTCCTAGGTCTAACCCCTTTGTCTCTTCCCAGCTGGACGTGCCTGGAACACCTCCCTAGGGAGGCGCCCAGGTGGCATCCTAACTAGGTGCCCGAACCACCTCAACTGGCTTCATTCTGTCACACATGAAGTTGAAATATTTGTCAGCTCAGATTGATTATTTTTTCTTGCGAGATTTGTTCATATATGGACTGAACTGATCATCGATTGGATGTCACTGTGGCTTTAGGAAAACTCTCCCCAAAAAGCCTGTGATGTGCTCCGGTGGACCTGAATGGTTCGGATCAGAGCTCAACATGAAGCCGTAAGAGAGACAATGCATTGGAATGTTATAATATCGAGAAACTTCTGCGGACTTTGTACCATATCTGACTCTTCCACACATCAATGAGCTGGAGCCCGAGCATTGACATGAACTGACTTCAGACCTACTGGCAAACTGTGCAAAGCTTGAAGATTGACCATTAGCATTTTTAAATGTGAATTAATATCATAGTTTCACCATTTCACTTTGTTCTGACTCTAACATCTGGGCCAACATCGATCTTTTTTTATATAAATACATTTGAGGTATCTGACCTTTCAGATTTGGCTCCCCTTCAAAGTTCACATGCAGGCTCATCAGAAAATATATATTATGATAAAATCTTTCCCAGGCTCATTTTTCTCACAAGCCACCCAGATCCGAATAAGATTTTTCAGGAGGGGATCTTAAAGACAGGCGCTAAAACGAAGCGTTCCAGACAGAGGTTATTACAGGTATATTCAGAAAGGCAGTATGATTAAAACTAATTTACTTTTAAAAAACTAAAGCATGTAAACATTTTCTAATAGAAACCCAACATATTTATACGAACCTGGAAATTAGCTTTATATGTATCCTTTAATAGATACATAATCTAAAAATAACTACATTGGAGAATTAGGTTAAAATATGCCATTTCATTATTTGAATGTCATCAGGCTTGTTTAGGGTCTTTTCAGTTGCTCCTCTCAGATGTTTAGCTCTGAACATGCTAGAAATGAAGTCTGATATTGAATGACTTGAATCTTAACTTCTAAATTCATAGATTCCAAGATTTTACTTCAAAGCAAATCAGTATCTCTTATCATTGATGTTCTGTCTTAGACAACCTCACATTATACATACATATCATATATATTATTATAGTGTCAGATTTCCTGTTGTTAGGCTATCTTGTGGATTTTTTTTATTAAATTCACAGTTTTTAAGTTTGAGCAATGAACACATTAGAAGAATTAGGGCTGTACCCAATAGTTTAAAGCTTTGTAGCTTCATTCATAATGTTTCAATTCAATTTCTAAATAGCTGAATGCTGTGCAGTTTTTATTTTGTGCATGTCTAATAATTATATTTAATGTATTTATGTAAAATTGCTTTTAAATATAAGGCTACACTATTATTATTATTATTATTATTATCATACTATTCCTATTTATGAGTGATATGCTGGGGGTGGCTGCGATGAACTGTTTCCAATGCATGTGCTCCAATAATTCTAGAGCGTTGTTAAAAGTGCAATAGTCTAAATATATTGAAAATACCTTGAATAACTGTATTTCAATATTGTACTTCAAATCCTTACATGTTGGTGATCAACATTTTAGGTAATAATATTAATTGCGTTTAGAAAAATGTTCTCCAGCTTGCAAAGGAAGGAAAACACCTGGATAAACAGGGTGGTCTAGCAGCACAATAAATTACATTAACTACTCCGCAATAAGTTAGACATTCTTGGTGACGGATATTCAAAGCCTCACTTAAAAACTCCAATAAATAAATAATAAATGTCATTCGGTACAGCCTTAATAGAGATAATTATTTAGTTGAATACACACCAACCTATAAAGAATAATACTTATTTATGGAAGAAACCTATAAATGAAGATATAATGCTTTGGGCAAAATAAGGACACTGTAGGCCTTCTGAGAGTCTTTTAATCGACGGAGGCAAAGACGGGCTCAAGATTATTTGTGTTCCACTTCAGGTAGTGGTGACTTTTATCTTGATGCTCCTTTTTCACTGCCTGCAAATCCTGACTTGCTGGTTTATTCAGTTTACAGTCTGACTTCAATATTTTATGTTTATTATGACAGCATAAAAAAATCTAAATCAAATAGAACAATTGCTCTTTTACAACAGTTAAGAGTAATCCATTTTCCGTTTAAAATTAAATAGATATAGAGTAATTCATAAATAACTCAAATAAATGGCATTTACACTACACCATTTTAAAAAGTAATATGGTGTTTCACTGATAAACTTCAGGTATCTGTCTCATAGAACTTAGTGACCCCTTATGACTGCACCAGGTATCTATTTATGAAAGCCTACTATAAGAAGGTAATGGCTTCAGTTTAAGAGTTTACTTACTTTAAGAGTTAAGGATGATGTTATATAGAAAGCAAAGTGTTTTGTTGGGTCTGAAAGGAGCTCTATTCAGGAGAGCTTTAATGATGTAATAAATGAATGATAATCATTGGTGTATTGTTCTAAATGCAGCGTATATTTGTATTACACTTAATCCTATATAACTGTACGGTTGTCTTTTTGTTACCATAAGAGCATTTTATGTGTGTATTCAAAGATCCCTTATTGTGAATATAAAGTAATATTTCCCCCCAAACTGACTGGCAACAGCAGAGAGATGATAACTGCAAACATGTGGATGGTTGTTCTTTAAAAACTGACTTTTTTATATGCAAGATATTGAATTTATTTATTTTTTGGAAATGTATAATGCTATGTGTCAATACTTCAATGAAAGAAATACAAATTAAATAGCTATTTTTTATCAACTAACCCTGTGTCTAGTGTCCAGTTATTATTGATGTGTCTTTCATTACGCTGCCATTATTATTCTGACTTGTCCAATTGTTTTGCATAATAAAATGCAGCTAATTGCAATCTTGTGTTGCTGATATTATTTTCTAAAACATAGAGGAATCACTAAAGACCGCCTACATAGCTTTAGCAGTTTTGATGTTTCTCTTTTTTTGTGATCATGTTGTATTACTTTGTAGTTTGTTCTAGAATTGTTGTGCTTTTTTTTTTTTTATGTTTTTGGTCGTTGAGAGTTTATTTTTGGTCTCTTTGTTGTCTTTGTTTGCTCGAAAAGTCTGTTCTTGTTTCTTTGGGCCCCCTGGGCCTGCTCCAGGTAAGCCTGTTAAGTAAGCCTTTCCCCGTGGTTTGCCCTCTGCCCCTCAGGGGTCCCTGTACCTGCGCCTGGAGGGCAGGAGGTGCGGCGTGGTGTCTGTTCTGTTGAGGTGTCAATTAATCTGATGACCCTTTTGTTTAGCTCTGCAATATTGGATGTGGGGAGACCAATCATCCTGGAAGCAATGGTAAAGACCTGTCAATCCAATCTGCAGTAGCCAAATAGGGGGTTCCAATTACTAGGTGGAAGAGGTAGATTCAGATAAAACTTCAGTAAAGTAATATTACTTTTAAAGTAACTTAAGTCTCTTCTGCTAAATGTACTATATTATCAGAGTACTCATTATTAAGCATATTGTCACCTGTCAGATGATTTATGTTTGTATTCCTATTGCTAATGTTAAAATGTATACAAATAATTGCTGTACCATGGCCTCAGTGGAGCTAATTTAACTAATTTGTATACTGTTTATCAAATGCATCATATTTTCTAATGTTGTGTTTGGTTTAAAAAATCTGATATTGCACAATAGAAAGTAGCTGTCAATAAATAAATCAATTGTAAATTATATTTAATTTGCGCTTTAAATAAAGTTACAGATTGCAAGGACAATACTGATCAAAACATGCAAACAAACAAGAAAGAACAGTTGTGAATAAAACAATGTGTTAAAAGAATAAAGGCTTTTGAGAAATACACGTTTTAAGAGCTTATTTAAAGGATGCCCCTTTTTTGTTAGCCCCAGACCCTCAGGCAGGGAATTACAGGGTTAAGGGCCTTTGACGCACAGTCTAATGATGTTCTGTAAAATATGGGGGAGAATAAGTATCCCTAGCAGTAATGGAATTATTATTTACTTGTATCATTATGTGGATTCAAATTACAATAATTAAAAAAAAAGATATGTGATAATATTATTTTCTTTTCAATTCATATACAACGAAAACGATTGTGTTTATGACAATCATCTTTTTATATAAATTGTGCATATTTTTCTATTGCACAGAAAAAGAACGATTTGCACTTGAAAATTTTTTGTGGAGATAGTCATTTCTATTTAATTCACAAATTACGTGAATCTTATTCGTTGCATACATTAATATCGAGACTGATCTGAGTACATGTCGCAACTTCTCTTTGCAGCGTCAATGTTATGCAATAACGTCTAGTTTGTACCTCTGTACTCGCCGTAGCCTTAACAGAGAATACAGGAAGTCACCCATGGTGAGGCGAGAGAGAAAATAGTATTCAATTTTAGGGTAAGCATATTTAAAAAAACTAAAAGCAAAACCCACTGCATTTATGTTCAGTAACATGATCTCAAAACACGTGCTTAATTAATTTGCACACTTCCAACGTTACTTTATTATGTTATTGCGTTTATTTTGAAAGTACGATTCGGAAGCCATATGAAAACCAAAGGTCTTGCCCGTTTGACAGTGTGCCTGTTTGTTTCCAAGAGTTGTGTTATATAGACGGTGACCCACTTTGCTTGTGAGAACAGCAGACAATGGCCTCCGGTGACGGAATTCAGATACCGAGCCGCCTGCCGCTGCTGCTGACCCATGAAGGGGTGCTGCTCCCGGGCTCCACCGTCAGATTCAGCGTGGACTCTCCGCGGAACATGCAGCTGGTCAGCCAGCGGCTTCTGAAGGGAACTTCTCTGAAAAGCACTATCATAGGAGTGATTCCCAACACCAGAGACCCAGAGCAAGACACCGACGACCTTCCCAGCTTGCATAAGTAATCAACGCTTAGTTATATACTTAGATAAAGAGTAAACAGTTATATCCCGAGTTTGACAAGTGGTGTTGCTGTTGTTGTTAGGGATGCATACCAGCTGACTGTACAGGATACAACATGGGACTGGGGACCCCTTCAAACCTTAGGGGTCATTAGAAGTTTACAAAAAATAGCTCTGTTAAGCACTTTTAAGGGGACAATAAGATAGCTTACTATACATTCTATCTAGATTTTCGACAAGAGTGGATAAACAATGCAATATGAACAAGACATAAAACAAATCAAATAAAAAAGCAATACAAAATAGTGCAAGCGCAGGAGTTTAGATTCAGGGTGTGTCAAGAGTGGATAAACATCTGGTAACACCATGTCCCAATTAATTGAACATGTAGGCCATGGCATTTCACTGGCACTACTGAGCATATCATGCTAATCTATGAATTTGTTTTGTTTTCTTTATTTTGTCTGTTAAGATTTCAATATTCTAAAGGTTTTATTAATACACTACTACAGTGTAGTGCAGTGAAAAACTTGGGTTATAGGTTCCTCAACAATGCAATATGAACAAGACATAAAACAAATAAAATAAAAAAGCAATACAAAATAGTGCAAGCGCAGGAGTTTAGATTCAGGGTGTGTCATTTGTTTACATTTGAATGGTTAACAAAGTTTAACAAATCTGCACACGGTTAGTCATAAAGCCTAAGTAAATCACGTTATTTTGCAGATATGTCCACATTAATGTCTTTAATAGGCATATTCCCCACTGCAAATTGGTTTATTCTGTGTATTCTTTGGGAATACTCTGTCATAATTGAGGAATTGCTTTGCATTTTTTTTTTGTTACAGCTTTGGACGTACTGATTTGTATTTGGTCCAACTTATCTATGAAACTACAACAGAGAGAAAAAAGCTCGGGCAACTTCAGTCCGGCCTTGTTCATGAACCTAATATTTGTTATATGCACAGTTGCATGCACATATTCTGAAAAGAACCGACATTGTGTGATTTGTTCTCTGGAAGTCTACAGTTAAGCAGTGGCCCCTGCAGCTGAGTACAGAGACTTTAACCTTTCACCTGCAGTCTACCGGGTCAGGCTGGTTACTAAATAGCGGTTGTTTATCTATCTCACAGCCACGGTTACTGGGGGGAATAACCGCTACCTTGGCTTAGGCACTGAACTTGGCATTGTAGCAATACATTGTAGCCATCCACTGCTAGCAAATAGTTTATTTAAAAACACTAAATGCTCCATGACGCTCAAAGTCTTAAAATAACGGAGACAATCTGATGTCCTTGTGTTGTTGTGGTAGACCTCAGTGATATTGGATTTCTGAAGGGAAACAGGGATTAAATGCTGCTTATTCAAACATCTTCCCCTTTTAGACAGTACATATGTCTCTGATTTAGAGCCTGAGCACCTTCAGAGGCTTCTCACTCCAGCCACCATCCTTGCCAAACTGGTGTGATCTACTCTCTGGTGGCTGTCAGTTCCGCTTCACTTCACATTAAATCGCGGAATTTATGTCCCGCCACTGCAAGCCCATAATCAGTAACATATTGTGTGTGTGCGTGTGCGGGGTTGTTATGTCAGGGAACATTGCCAAGAAGTCTTGAATTACTGTATCGATCCATAGCTAAACCTGCTATCCTGCTGTGATCCACACTGACTTTGGCAACTCTAGCCGCTCAGTTCTTAATAATCTATTAGGTTTTTAAAAAAAAAAAAATTCTGATTTTGTGTCAATCATTTGTGGGGTTCCCGCCGAAAACACGTGTTTCCCCCCCAAAAACATGTGTAATTCAAGTCATTGAGGCCCAAACTGCGTTTTTTTAAAACGTGTCAGCATTTGAATGGGTCCCAAATGACCCAAATGACTTTTATTCCAGCTTGTTATCCTGCAAGTCTTTTATAACAACTGTTTTACTTAACACTGAGCAGAAAAAAAGCCTCAGAAGATAGACAGAAGACTCATTCTTGGTTACAGGCAATAATGCTTTAAATGAGTTTAAGACTAACAGACACAGGGACCGTTTTATCCCACATGCCATAAGACTGCTGAACTTGCGAGCTTGCACTATTTTTATTGTTTTTATTTTTGTTTTATGTCTTTATATATGTATGTTGTATTGTTGGAGGAACCTGTGACCCAATAAATTCACTGCACAACTACACTGTAGCTGAGTATATGACCAAAAAAACCATTGAACCTTTTAATTAAAGTTCATTTGGTCCAGTGCTCAACTTTAAAGTATGTAGCTAAGCTTAGCTCTTGCTGGCTTTTGATGTGAGACTCAAATTAAAGACTTTCCCACAATACACTTAAAACCTTAAAGATTATAAAAGAGTTGTTTGATCCCGACCAAAACCAAGTTGTAAATCTGTACCATTCACGAAAAAAACATCAGGGCACACTATCGTTAAATATAAGATAATGCCACCGTGAAGCTTAGGACAAACCATCCTTTCTCCAGTGGGTTGTCCATCATCCCTCCTGTGTCTCACTTCCTCTCTCTCCCTCTCTCTGTAGAATTGGTACAGCGGGTATAGCAGTGCAGGTTGTGGGCAGCAACTGGCCAAAGCCTCACTACACCCTCCTCATCACCGGACTGTGTCGCTTCAGTGTGACAAGTCTGCTGAAGGAGCGACCCTTTGTCCTGGCGGAGGTAAAACAATTCAATATCAAGACAAAGGTATATTTAAGATCAAAAAGGTCTTTCTGAGAATTTATCAAAATGTACAATTTCTTTTTTACAAATAATGTGTGGACCCTTTTGTAAAATCACAGCTCCATTTGCTCCATCCACAAAAGCAATTAGAATATTGTTTATTATTGCCGCGATTGGCGACACACAGATTCGTACTTTTTACCGACTAGTGCATGCATAGTTGAAAAAAGAAGAAAACAAACCCTGCAAAATGTGCATAACAGTGACAAAGAGGGTACAGCACGGGAGCAGCATGGAGTTGAGGAAGGAGGCCAATTTACATTTTAAAGGGTGAAGCTGTAGGACAGGATATATGTGGAATATTGATTGTCATTGTAAAAGTTTCGTAGGAATATTGCCATTATTAATATTTTTTTCAATATTGTCAGAAACTAAATATTTTATTATCAAAGGTGCATCCCTGATTTGGGACTTTATTACTAATAGTTCCTCCTTTATAGACAATATAGGATTAAAGAGTCCTTTTTCTGAATTTCAAAAGGGACTTCAATAGGTGCCTCTCCATTTGGGAAACCTTTCAGGTGGAACAGCTGGATAAACTGGAGCAGTACATGACCCCAGCCTCAGAGGGGGTCACAGCAGAAGATGGAGAGCTGGGGAAGCTGTCCCACAAGTTCTACCAGGCGGCTGTACAGGTGTGTGTGTGTGTGTGTGTGTGTGTGTGTGTGTGTGTGTGTGTGTGTGTGTGTGTGTGTGTGTGTGTGTGTGTGTGTGGGACTGGAATAGAGTGGTAGTAAACAAGTAAGGCAAAACAAGACCCAGAGCCCTTAACAAAAGAAGAGGATTTGGCGAAAATTCTCTTTCCTAGTCAAAAACAATGGTTTTATTTTTGGTGCATATTAGAGCTAGAAAAGAAAAGAAATATTTTTTATAATATACTATAATCATTTTATTCAACTGATAAACTGAATTAAATAAGAGGAAGAGAATAAGCTCATGTATACACTGAACTCAGTTCAGTATGGGTTCCACAGTTTGCCAATGAAATAAAGCAGTGATTTATACAGAGTTTTCATTTCCAGGTTAGGTCCATCAACCCAGAAAGTCTCTATCTTTTCACAGATCACATGTAGTTCATGTCATGGTTCTAGATCTATCGGCAATAAAAAAGTATAACGCATTAATTCATTAGTATAAAATTATAAAAGTTTGTTTCTATGTGCTGCAACATAAGAGGGCTGTTTGCATGTACATAGCATCCGGAAAGTATTCATACCCCTTCACTTTTTCCACATTTTGTTATGTTACAGCCTTATTTCAAAATGGATTCAATTCATTTTTTTTCTCAACATTCGAGACACAATACCCTATAATGACAAAGTGAAAAAAGTTTTAAAAGAATATTTACAAATTAATTAAAAACAAAACACTCAAATATCACATGTGCATAAGTATTCACACCCTTTACTCAATACTTTGTTGGAGCACATTTGGCAGCACTTACAGCCTCAAGTCTTCTTGAGTATGGTGCTACAAGCTTGGCAGACCTATCTTTGGGCAGTTTCTCCCATTCTGAGTCTGAGGTCCAGTGTGCTCTTGAGTAGGTTTTCATTAAGGATCTCTCTGTACATTGCTGCATTCATCTTTCACTTGATCCTGACTAGTCTCCCAGTTCCTGCTTCTGAAAAACATCCCCACAGCATGATGCTGCCACCACCTTGCTTCACTGTAGGGATGCTATTGGCCAGGTGATGAGCGGTGCCTAGTTTCCTCCAGACATGATGCTTGGCATTCAGGCCAAATTTGGTTTCATCGGACCAGACAATTTTCTCGTTGTCTGAGAGTACTGCTCCATGGGGGCTTTCACGTGCCTTTTTACTGAGGAGTGGCTTCCTTCTGGCCACTCCTCAGGCCTGATTGATGGATTGCTGCACAGATGGTTGTCCTTCTGGAAGGTTCTCCCATCTCCACAGAGGAACACTGGAGCTCTGTCAGAGTGACCATCGGGTTCTTGGTCACCTCTCAGACTAAGGCCCTTCCCCCCCATTGCTCAGTTTGGTTTGGGCGGTCAGCTTTAGGAAGTGCCCTGGTGGTTTCAAACATCTTCCATTTGCAAATAATGGAGACCACTGTGCTCGTTGGGACGTTCAATGCTGCAGACATTTTTCTGTACCCTTCCCCAGAACTGTGCCTTGATACAATCCTGTCTCTGAGGTCTACAGTCAATTCCTTGGACCTCATGGCTTGGTTTGTGCTCTGATATGCACTGTCAACTGTAAGACCTCATATAGACAGGTGTGTTCAAGTCATTTCCAATCGACGATTGGAAATGACTTGAACACACCTGTCTATATGAGGTCTTACAGTTGACAGTGCATATCAGAGCACAAACCAAGCCATGAGGTCCAAGGAATTGACTNCCCAATGGCCAGTCCGCCCCTGGTGTGTGTGTGTGTGTGTGTGTGTGTGTGTGTGTGTGTGTGTGTGTGTGTGTGTGTGTGTGTGTGTGTGTGTGTGTGTGTGTGTGTGTGTGTGTGTGTGTGTGTGTGTGTGTGTGTGTCAGACAAGAGCTACCTTCTGAGCTCTGCTCCCTTGGCTACAATCTTTCATCGTTGCTGTTGTATGATTGGTGTTTAGCTACGGTATTTAGCGTCCACAACACCTCCGCTTTTAGGGTTGACGTAGACCAGACGTAGACCCAAACGCCCGGAGGTCCCCCGATGTTGTTGCGGGAGCTGCTGCACTAGCTAACGCTACATTTGCACACAAAAAACGGTGCAAAAGGTGCAGCGGGCTTTAAACAACGGCGGGCTGGTTTCAACCAAACACTAAATTCAATGTTTTCCAACCAAAGATTCGAAGATACCTGAGTTTCTGACTTCTGCTAGCTTGGTTGCTAGGTTACTAGCTGGGTGTTCTCCGATAAGGGGCAGGGGGATGCAAAGTTAGTGATTACTGGTTCCATGTTGATTTATTTCAATACAAATTGTTGGGGGGAACTGAAAGGCTATTACCGTACTGCGGACATTTCCCCCAAAACAAATTTAGACGTGATCGCAACACAGAAGTACCTTTCAAATCCGATCATTTTTAAAAGATCCCATGTCATATTTTTCCGGTTATTACCTGTCCCCTTGTGTGTTATGACGGTTTTTATGCATATAAGCGGTCTGCAAAGTCACAAACCCTCAAAGTACACCCTGTAGCGAGTAAAACTCTAACACAGAAAATAACTGTCTATGCTGCCCCAGAACGCCTCGTTAGAGATTTCTCTTTTTCTTCCTGGGTACAGTGACGTGCCCATACCCAAATGGACCCATTGGTCCAATAGGACCAATCCGTGGAGCCATTACGTTATGTCCGCGGAGCCGTTACGTTAAGTCCGTGGATTGGAAAAATTGACAAATGGACCAATCCGCAGACTTCCTCACACACACACACACACAGTCAATATTTTCTCAGCTGCAGCTCCGCCGATTTCTCCTCCCTGAGACGGCGGGACGCGGCGAGGCTGTGAGTCGGTGTGTGAGCACACACAAACTCCCAGCCAGGCTCAGAATCAGAATTGATCAAAGATATTAATACAAACATAAGAAAATTAATTAAAATGTCTCAAAGGTTGAAAGTAAAATGTTAAAATGTCTAATAAAAGATACAATTAAATAGAATAACAAGATAAATACAAACATAAAAAGTTACATTAAAATGGAATATAAATATGAATATAAATGTAAGAATTTAAAGTAAAACATCCAATACAAGATAAAATAAAACAGTAATATTTTATAGAAACATATAATGTACAAATAAAAAAACTCAACAATATACAACATGTATTATATAAATATAAATATGATATTAATGCTGAATTGCAGAGTTCAAAAACCTTTTTAGATTGTAGTTAGTTGAAGTACCAGTCTATTAACGACGTGCGGCCATAGACGGGAATTTATTTAGCATGTCAATGAAAACTTGGGGTAAAAACATAAATGACCCATTCAAAATTAACTGGATTGATATGCAGAGTCAGACATACTTGAAGCCCTGAATTACATCCTAAACTACTCCAGTAACTCCACTCAACACCAAACCTCTTCTGTTTCTCCTATTTTGCTATTTGTTCTTCTAAAAAGGTCTGGCCAGCAAAAAGGGAGTCTCCTTTGAAGGATGAGCACCAAGCTTTGTTCTGTTGGCTGTTCCTATGGTAACCAAACTGGAGTGTGTTGCACCGAGGCTCTGCAGGGATCGTAGTGCTTACCATGTGAAAAGAGCGGAAGCCTTTTTATCAGCGGCAGCTCAATGTGGGCTCATTTCCTTTTAAACATGCACTTTGATCCGGCTGGTACAGACGTTACCATTAAAATCTCACTAGCTGATTGACAGACATTCGGACTGTATCCAGCTTCTCAAATATCAGGATTTTTCTGCTTTTCTTCACAGTGACTTAAATACATTTGGTTTTGGACTAATGTTAGGACAAAACAACTCAATTAAATCAGTGAAAGTGTGCTTTGATCAACATTTATTGCTTTTTGCTGACCAAAAGATCCATCAAAAAACAGACAGAAATTGTGAAAACAATGCAGCTTTCAAGAGGACATATTATGCTCCTTTTCAGGTTGGATATTTGTATTAAGAGACTCTACTGTGACATGTTTCCATGATTTAATGTTCAAAAAGCTCTTTATTTTTCTCATACTGCCTGTGCTGCGGCAACTCTTTTCACCCTCTGTCTGAAACCAGAGCCCAGTCTGCTCTGATTGGCCGGCTCAGTTGAGATTGGCCAACCGCTTAGAGATGTCCCGCCCCTTAGACTATCATGTATACTGTGTTGGAGCGCTAGCCGATAGTAGCACAGTAGAGATGTCACTATGTCGCTGAAGTATGACTATAATCGAGAGAGAGATAGGAAAAACTCAAAGCCACTTTAACTAACAGTATGCTGTATTATACCGCAAAGAACTGAATGAGATCCAAAGCAAGACTTTTAATAAAAATCAACACCGGAACCGAATCCATGGTGAAAGGCATGATGTGCTCTGTGGAGGACAATAACGCTGATGTGTTTCAAGCATAGGCGTACAGATAAACCTACATCTGGTTTAAAGATGTTCTCTCTCTCATCAAAAGGTTGCGCTGACAGCGAAGCACTGGTCAGCATTCAAGACAAATAGTCACCAAACTACTCGACAACTTAATGACACACTCTGATGACCAGTGGGATTCCAAGTAAGCCTCAGATCCTAGAGAGCTCTGCCACATACACAACATACACATGCTCTTGTGAACATGCAACAATAAAGTGCATGTAATCTTGGGAATTGAGTGTTATTTGTTTTTTATATTCCTGTGTAACATCAGCTCTGAAGCATGCTGTGTTTTCCGTTGTAGGAGAAAAATCTGATGCACCTGTAAATGCATTGGCCACAGTGGACCGCAGGTAACTGACCACTGGACAGGGTCTCTACACTAATGAGGTATTTTGTGACCACTAATACTAACTAAATCACAGGGCAAATTGCAAATCCCCTACATGTCAACCATCGCATTTACAGATGATGTGAGGATTTAATCAAATGTGTCTGTTATTATATTTAAGAGTTATGCGTGAGTGCGTTTACCTGCTGATGATATTCTGTGTGGTGTCCTGTGGTATATGCAGCTGTTGAGGGGTTAACCCATGCTGCTCCAGCTGGTTTTGGATCAGGTGACGGTGTGCTATCTCCACCTTCTCCTCCTGAGTGTAGCCTGAAACACACAAACATGCCAATCAGAGTGTTTGAAGACAGTGATTAAAAATAATCATTATTGTTATATGTAAGGGATAAAGCACAGCGAGCCAAACACCAGGTCTTTTAACTTATTTCCTTCTATTGCGCTTTTTCTTCTTCTCTTTTTCTTTACGTGGGACAGTTTAGCCTTCATTTAATCTGCTCCACATATTTAAAAATTAATATTCAAAAAGTGTTTTCTGATCAATCTTTAGCAACGGGCTGCTAACGAAAAATAACAGATCAAAGAATGTCCAGGTCGACCAATCAGAATCGAGTATTCAACTAAGCTGTATAATACATAACAGTAATACATTGGTTAGTTATAATCAACCTTATTAGTCATAAATGATGTGCTGCTTGTTTGGATGTATCCAACTGTAATTTGCTACGCAGCTTGACACAAGATTTCTTCAGCTGTTTCCTACATGTGCAGAAAACTCAATTACACGGGTGCTATCTGGGGTTAGCTCATCACCAGAGCTAGAGTCTGGATCCAAGATAAAATGGAAAGTGCTAAAAGGGTTTCTTAGAGCTCCTGAACCCACCTGGTACCTGCAGCACCTCCATCCTGTCCAGCAGGGCGGGGGGGATGGTGGCTGTGGTGTTTGCTGTGGCAATAAAGAGCACTTGGGACAGGTCGAAGGCCACGTTGAGGTAATGGTCAGTGAAGCTGTGGTTCTGCTCCGGGTCCAGGACCTAAGGGCACAGATAGAGACAGTTTCAGTGTGTGTTTAGTATCAAACTTCATTTAATTAATTTACATAGAAAGAGGGCCAGCTAACCTTAGCCTAGCATAATCATCTCTGGTAGTAACTCAAACGTGAGAAGTGATAACAGCATCAAAAGGCTGCAGCTGAAGCATTACTTTATTAAATGTCACCAAGAAGAAGTCACCATGACTGATAAGATATTTGCCTCAGTAAGTGTCTTTTTACAATTTGTTTAACTATAGAAGGAACCAGTTTTTCTTCCTTGATTAGATTAGATATGCTTTATTCATCAACATTTGGGAAATGGTTTCATCCCGGCCATATGTACCAGGGCATGGCACATGAATTCAAAATTAAATTAAATAGAAAATAAACATATCAAAAGTTAAAGATATATCTTCAGAGTATATATTTTAAATACAAAATAAATATACCTTTTTTTACACTATAATAGGCAGACCTAATACTAGAAAAACGACTGTGGAAAGTAATTGGAGTTTTTTTAATTAATTTTAAATTAAAATGCAACAAGGACATGCCCATCAGTTTAGTCACATAGTAGTACAAAGTTACTTTCTTATGGATCCAGAAAACAAGATACTTGTACTTTGTGGATCCTTCAATATATCAGCCATTTCCAGTGTTGGGAAGTCGTTCCTCTGACTCCAATATGTTCACTTTAATTAAGTTAACAAAAATGTATTAAACTTAGCAATGAAGTTCTGACTTTTTTTGCATATTTGTATTTGATAAAGGTCATCTGAAATACAGTTGCCCTAAAGTTATTCAACCTATTACAAGACGAGTCAGATGAGTCAGGTCTGCCTTTTTTTTTGCATGGAGGTGTTAACATACTTTTACGTTTACGTCACTAAATAAGTTTGATTGAGAACATTATGGTCTTGAGGTTGAACCTCTTTTCACCCTCTGTCTGAAACCAGCGCCCAGTCTGCACTGATTGGTTAGCTGGCTCGCTCAGTTGTGATTGGTCAACCGCCTAGAAATGTCCTGCCCTCAAGCCTATCACGTACAATGTGTTGGAGCGCTTTGGGATTTTTGAAGACCATTTACATGCACAAAAACTATAATATACTACAGGAAAGGGAAAACTCTAAAATAGTATAATAGGGCCCCTTTGAGTGTGTGTTTAAAATAGACACCGTTTCCGAACTTATGTGTCTAATTGAGGGGACGAATCCAACATCACATACAGTAAATGTAGCAGAATATTCCCTATCCCGCAAACTGGATCACAAAAATGAAACATCATTTATATATCCGCACCATTATTCCGATCCGCTCTAGTTTTTGGTTCTTACAAGTGCTTTACCCTTGTTCATGAGAATCGATTCAGTATTTTTTCTGTAATTCTGCTGAAAAATAAACACAAACAGAGTAACCTGACCGAGATCCCCTGTGCTTGAGATACAAATAAAGAGGAGAATGCTCAAGGGACAGAGCTAACCTCTAAAAGGGCCGCTGCAGGGTCTCCTTGCAGGCTCTTCCCCAGTTTGTCCACTTCGTCCAGGAGGAACACGGGGTTATTGACGGCCACCGTCTTCAGACCGTTGATGATGCGGCCCGGCATGCTCCCTACGTACGTGCGCCTGGAGGAGGGAACACAATTTGTGTAAATTATGACGATAGAAAAGGGTCAAGGTGAATATCATTTGTTTTTGCATGGTCAACTGATCCTACGAGTATGCATTGAATTACCAGGCATCAATAATAATGGAATTCTGGCACAAAAATGTCTGTGACAAAGAAAGATATAAAAGAAACAACGGGAGTAGTCTCCCTGACATATTATTTATTCTTTAGTTGAACAACTTGAAAAAATTATCTGTATCCCTTGCGCTCCTGCTGTTAGTATGCCTGACACATGTTTCTCATCTGGCTGGGAGAAGGTGTCGAAACTCAGTCCCGTTTGTCTTTTGTATGCAGGGATCAGCCCTGCTGCAACCTGAGATAAACTTGAGTTGCCCTGCTCACCTCCCTGCGCGCGCGCACACACACACACACACACACACACACACACACACACACACACACACACACACACACACACACACACACACACACACACACACACACACACACACACACACACACACACACACACACACACACCAATAGGTCGCTTAGTAATCCCACCTGATACTATATACCCGTGCCCACACACAGCAGAGTGTCTCTGTTTTGATGAGACTCATTCTGATCAAAGGCAAGATAAATGTTGAGACGGACGCACTCTAATGATTTCTTTTTTTACCTAAAAGCAGATACTGTGTGAGCGTGAGTCCATAAATAAACTGATAGTTTGTTGTTTGTTTTGCAGAATACTTTTCCCTGATGTGAGCAAAACAGCACTGTAATCTTTTAATACCACAAATGGTTTTGTTAAATCCTTAATTTTGGTTGTCAGATCAAAGTTTATTCAATTCCACACAGTTGTCATTTTACCAGAAAATAACGCTGTATCCCCGGTTGAACCCTATCTGAGGTTACGGCACAATTGATTTAACTGTTCTAGATCAATGCCTCTGATGTTGTCATTTGAAAACGTGGTTTACTTTGCAAGAGACAAATTGCAATACATAATAATAACGTTGAAAAGGGCATGTCTGGAGTTGGAGGCTCCGTAAGAGATGTGTTGTTTACAGATGTAATAGCTCTGCAGCCTCTTATCTGCACAACCTTTATAGATGCACATGTGTTTTAATCATCAGTCTTTTGAATTACACACAGCTTGACTCCCAGGCACGCTGGATGTCGATCCATCTTGAGCCAGTGTTTTAAACTGCTAGATAAATACTCCAACAAGACTCTTTTAGGAAAAACCTGAAAGAAACAAGGGAAACAAAATAGCTTTTTTTTTTGTCAGTGTCATGTTCGAAATGGAATCCAAATACTTTAAGAGCTTCAAAACAAAATCCAGAGAGACAACGTGGGCTCCGCCAAACAATACACGTATTATGCAGTGGCACGCTGCCAACGTTCCAGTTATCTGTGTCCTGAAACAAGTTTCCAGGATTACACGCCGCTCCAGAACAAAGAACCCATCTGAAGTACATTTTTACATGAAGTCCATGATTTCTAAAGATGGAGATTTCCTAGCACGTGTTCATCTTTTAAATGGAATTATTTGCCTCACTTTCAAGCATTTTAAGGAAACTCCTTCCCCACTAGCTCCACAAAACAAAACACTGTGCTCATAAGCCTCTAGTAGAGTGATACCTGTGTCCTCGGATGTCCGATTGGTCACAGACGCCTCCCAAAGCGATGCGGTGAAACTCTCTGCCCAGAGTCCTCGCTATGGACCGTCCCACACTGGTCTTACCTACTCCTGGGGGCCCCACGAAGCAGAGGATGGGTCCCTAAAGACAATAAAGAGGCATGAATTCACAGGCAAAAAATGTGACACAGGGTTGTGGCGGACGGCAGTTTGAATCCAGCATACTTAATAATATAATCGTATGCCTAACAGACTGACAATTCTTTAAGACACACCTTCAGTAAAGTCTTCAGCTGTCTCACAGCCAGGTACTCCAGCACACGTCTCTTCAGCTTATCCATGGCATAGTGGTCGTTGTCCAACAGAGTGCGAGCGGCTCGGATGTCCAGGCAGTCTAATGATTGTGCGTGTGCATGTTGGGTACATGTCGATGAGTTCCAAGAAAGAAAGAGAAAGCAAATAGAATGTTTTGTTAAGAAAAGGAGAGACAACCCTCCCTTAGGACATACTCTGGCTGTGACCTCTGACCCATAAATTAATTGAACCATGTTCAGAGGTTTTCTGTTATTCAGGCATTCTGTGGTCAGCAGCAGAGACAAGGCCAAGCAGAGTCTACCACAATTATATTATCATGTCAATTTGTAACATTTATCAGCAGCAGCTCTGATATCCTTACTGATATTCTACCACAAAATACACCAAAAGCAGCGAATAAGACCAATGACGATTATTATTATTATATTATATTATTATTGTTGCGGATGGTTGTAGTAGAGGAGCTGTAGATTTTGCATTAAAATCTGTATCATGGTCAGTAGTATCTGGAGCACGAACGCAACCCTGTGATCCGCTATTGTTGTTGTTGTTGGCGAAACGCATCAGCAATGACGCGGGGGTGAACAGGAGGGGTGGGGAGAGGCGGGGCTATGGCGCCATCGTTTCAGGAAATGATCGTATAGGGCGTACACACGGAGCCGCAAGCGTTTCGTCTCCAGACTTACCCACTTTGGGAGCCGTTTTCAAAGTGTATCGTTTTCGGGCTCCGAATCCGCGGCTCCATTTCGGCTTGTGTGGACGAACCGTCTATACGATAGAGATTGTTAGCGGATTCAACTGATGTCGTCTCCGTGTGGACGGGGCCTTAGATGCCAAGACTTGAGTCAACAAAAAATTCCCCGTAAGGAAACAGAAGGAAGTTGATTAGATTTGATAAAAACTCCCAAAGACATTTCAGACAGGACTCGCAAAAAGACTCAATGTGAAAAGCTGGCTAAATTAACTGTATCTCATTCATATGTAGACGCAGAGCTGATATTAGAGTGTGTGCAGACACCGGGAGTTCACGGCTGCCTCTAGGATTTTTCATTTCCACGTCACAACCTGTTATGTGTGTGAACTGTGTTAAATATCCAGGTAACAGGTGTGTGTGTGTGTGTGTGTGTGTGTGTGTGTGTCAGGTAACAGGTGTGTGTGTAAGTGTAAGGGGTTTGGATCGTGGGGGGTTGGGGTTGTTAGTGAGCATAGGTATGGGCAGCAGATGGAGGACTGTGTGTGTGTGTGTGTGTGTGTGTGTGTGTGTGTGTGTGTGTGTCCCATCATTATTCTGAAGCAGTGTTCCCAGCACGGCCTTTACCAGATGTAGAGCATCTAATGAAGAGTCAATGAACTAAAGCCTTTATGTCGTACACACGCTGAAGACACACACACCGAACACACACGCACACAAACTCTTTCACATCCCTACATTCACACAATTAGAAGACACATTTTTGACCCATTACCTCCCTCTCTCTCTCTTTCTGTGTTTCTCTCTCCACCCTCCTCCCTGTCACGGGACGCAGGTACTGTAATAGGCGTTGCTATGGTAACCAGCTGCAGCTTATCACAGAGGGGATGTTTCTAATGTTCGCCCTCTCCACCTCCCCACCCATCTCCAATGCCATCACAACTGCCAGGCAGAGAGGAGGAGGAGGAAAAGAAAGTACAGACAGTAGGGTTGTTAGTGGCTGTTGGTGGGAGTAGGACACAGGAGAGAGGAGAACCCCCTCAGAGGAGACAAAGCAAGGGAACATGAGAGATAAGGTTGATGGAGACATGGTTGGAGGTGGGTTGCCAGAAAAACCCCTCTTACTCATCTGGAATGATTAAAGGCAACACAAACTATAACTATACAAAGAGTTTTTTTATAAAGTAAATATATAATAATCGGTTGCTTACGAGAGTGTAGGTTTTGTTGTTTGTAAAAGTGTGGGGGACAAAGTGAAGTCGCTCAACAAAAACATCTGAATGGCAATATAACAAAGAAGAAGAAATTCCATGTGAATTGCTGCTTTATTCATTTAATAACCCCACTTACATAATGTTTGTTAGTTAATTTGATAGACCTTATACTTAATAATGAACAATTAAGTATTTTCATTTACAATAAAAAGAAACCTATATATTGCCGCATTACCTTAAAGTGATGTTCAATTATATTCCTCCTACGACCAATCAGCTCCTGAGAGGTGATACTCAGTGTAAACAGGTTCACCTAAAGGCGCACACAGCTCCTCTCTCGCAGTGATAATTGGCATCTTCACAGCAAGACACACAAATGGTTGAAAAATGCAAACTGAAAAGGGTCTCTATAAGAAATACAAGAGCAAATAATGAACTGGTTGTAAAGCATGTAACATGAAGTTATCTACTATATGCTGCCCCTTTTCAAGATGGAGTTTTTTTTATGTGTAAATAAACTAATACATAACCTCCTCAAAGTTCATGCACCGTACATGTACATTACAGCGATGGGTCAGATGTGTTTAAGTTGAGTTGCAGGAATCTATAATCAGTGTATTAACTCCAGTAGATGGAGGTTGGCGAGCAACAGTTGAGGCTGAGGCAATATAAGGCTCCCTGTTAAAGGCCATCTCATTGGAAGGTAAAGCAGTGAAAATAATCTGATTCTAGCGTGTGCTTAAAATGGTATTGATATTGTCAGCAAATATGTTCTGTTGATGCCGTCTATCTTTGTATTGAAATAAAAATGAATAATAAGCATCATATGATCCCAGCATTCAGTGTTTTATTTTCCCACTGTGACCCAGGACCTCGAACATGATACTGTTGTTTCTTTACTCTGATGTGTGTTAACAGCGTGCCAGGCCAGCGGTGCCCTTTCCCTCTGCCTGCACATCACAGGAGGCCAGGGCACGGTGCAACACAGCTCCAGGACACACACACACACACACATATACAAATACACAGGGAAACACACAAGTAACCAAGAGGACATATTTGTCCTCCACTGTCGGCTTCCATGCTCGTTGTCTCTGATACTGGGACCAAATTTGACGTAAAACCACCCCACAAAAAACACACACACACAGTATATCAAGAAATAAAGCCTTCACATGCACAAAAAAATGGTGCACCAACATACATAGATTCAATTACACACATGCATAAGGATACAGAGAATAACACACACACATTCACACACACACTGGACCTGAGGTTGTAGGGCACATCACTGGCCCGGGACTGTAGCTTATGTGACAGCATGCGCACACACACACCACACATTTATGTGGGCCATGGGGTGGGGAAGTGTGTGTGTGTGTGTGTGTGTGTGTGTGTGTGTGTGTGTGTGTGTGTGTGTGTGTGTGTGTGTGTGTGTGTGTGTGTGTGTATTTGTTGAGGGGACACCTTAAGGCACAGCAGACAGGACAGCACAGCATGCGACTGACACAAACACACACACACACAAATAGCAACCCCCCAGATCCCACTGGCCGAGCAGAAGGGTCAAAGTCAGAGGGAGAGAAAAGAGAGGGGGGAGAGAGAGAGGTGCGAGGGCAGAGCTGCCGTCTGCAGGACACACTTGAGTGAACATACAAATAAACTGCATGTGTATCTCATGAGGCTGCAGGCTGTGTACACACATGTCCGTCCTGTGCAGCAGCCATGACAAAGACTCGTCCACTACATCACTGAAGACGGGACTATATTTAGGTGTTTTTTTCCAGAGACCCAGTGAGACACTTTCTCTCGGGGGGTCGGACTCATTAAAACATATTGGTGTCTCTGCTCACCAGCAGCACACCCATGACCCATTTCCAGGTCTCATGCCACAGTTTGAAGAGGTATTCCCCCTGTTTCATTTCCTTCTGTCATGTCAGCTGGTTTTACAAAACACTTCAATAAATAATAAATCCTTTGGGGTAATGAGCAACAGTTTATGAGAGCTGTTATTTATTTATTTGTGCAAAATAAAAATAAGGCTGGCAATATTGTATGTAATTACAATTACATCGAGCACCAAATGTGAATTAATACGCTGCTGAAAATAGTCCTCTGACAGGTGTTTCCTTCCCATATAAATGTGTTACAAAAATAACACATTTTATGAATAAATAACATATTTGAAACGTTTATTTTGCTGGACTCTGGTGAATGAAAATATATTTATTTGAGGCATTTCAAAGCTTTCAAATAAATACTTTCTTAGTATTTATTTCACACGTATCGATTTTATTTCCACAACACCACCCTCACCTTTCTATCTGACCCTCCATCTCTCTCTGACCTGCTGCACCTCCACCGCCTCCGTCCACACATTATGAGCAGCTTCCCTTTCTCTCTCTTCCTCTCATTTCCTCAGTTTCTTTTTGTGGGCTCTCTCCCTCTGTTCATCTCTCCATCCCATTTCCAAACCAGCCTGTTGCTAGGATACACGTGGGGTCCATTCAGTGGAAGCCCCCTCCTCCTCCACCACCACCACCACCCCTGCTCTACATCCTCCTCCACCCCTCTTCATCTGATGGACTGGGGCATACACACACAGCTCCAGCAGGGTGAAGTGTGTGTTGAGCAGCGAGCGAGCAGCATCAGCCAACCTGCATCATGACAAACATACAGACATTGTAGAAACACATGCATGCACAGCAAATATGCACGCACACAAACCCACATTGTGACACAAACATTCGGACCACACACACACACACACTGGTATACTGCTCCTACTACTAGACTCCTGGTACTAGGATGGGTTACATGCAGAGGCCACATTTCACTGTGTGTGCTGTGTGCTCTGCATGTGTGACCATTAAAGAGGGCTTCATCCCTCCTATTCTATTCTCTATTCACAAATGCTGAGCAGCACAAACACACCAATGGACTCCAGAAACACACACCACTTCAGCCCTGAGGTACCATAATGCAATGCAGTAGATACAGCTCCAGTTCCCACTTCAACAACACAATCAGACAGCGGGAAGACCGACAATCAGTCCAGTCTGCATTAATATTTCATAGGTGTGTCTATCTGCAACATTTTATGCAATAACACATGAAAAATGACGTTAAATGACGATGGAAAAAAACTGTTCGACTTTACAGAAACACAGAATAATGCACTGTTGGAAATTCACAGCACGGAGAAGACATCA